CCTAGGTTTCTGTTGACTATGATATCAAAATGCAAAGTATTCTTGTTGGTTGTAAAGCTAATTTTAAGATATGGGCACTGTCAGAACTGTTTGAGAAAGAAAGTAGGATGAAATATGTTTGCCAAGAAAAGAATTATACTTTTGATTGATAATTGCATTGTGCAGGAGCAAATAAAAAAGTTATTTGTCTTTCTGTCATGCAGCATAAAAGCCACAGAATGATAAGCAGCCTGGTAAAGTAACCCACTCTGCATATTTTGATGTGCTGAGCGGTAAGGTTGCTGAACACTGGTAGTTCGAATCCTGCGAATGGGCTGGCTGCATGGACATTTTCGTGATTTTCCCCATGTATAACGTGTATACGAGCCAGTTTCCCTTAGAAAGTCCTCCACGAAGCCATCCCTACCCTTAGGCAGATAGCCCTCCCTAGTGTGCTTTCCCATAATCTGAGTAAACCAAACTGTGCATTTTGATAGACCATGACAAAGATGTTGATGCATTGATTTTCAGTTTGATGCAAAGCTCATGTTAGAAAATTCTTGGTAAATTGATGCTGTCCTGTCTTATTTGTTTATTTATCGTATTTGACGGCATATAAGACGCACTTTTTTTCCTAAATTTGGTCTCAAAAAAGTTACCTGCGTCTTATACGTGAAGGTAATTGCATTCATTAATTGTTTATTTGGCTTTTACGAAATGTGAGAACTAAAAGAAACCACGCTATTGAAACTTTTTTTCCTTGTGTGTGGCCGTCTAAATAAGGGTGCGTCTTATATGCCATCAAATATGGTATTTTAATGCAGTACATGTGGGTTAAGAATAAAGAAAAAACACTAATCTATTTTTAAAAATTACTACATTATTCTTAATTCAGGTAAAAACCTTTTACATTATTGTTAAGCCTACATCTTCTTTCATTTTCAGTTTTCTCCTATACAAATTTTCGTAAGTATAATCAGAAGAAAATTCTTGTTTTCTGTTGGAAAGAAAAGTGTCCACTACATCCTAAAAAAAGTCTAAATTTATATATCATGAGAATTTATAGTCCTGAATACAAAAATTCTCTGATTTTGTTTATAACAGTGGCATTAATTTTTAAATACAAAGTCTTTGTTAATTTACCATATTTACTTGCGTATTACACCTCCTAGCATTTTCAGTATATAATTTCGAAACTTCATATGGTAAGAGTGCAAAATATGTGCGTAGATAAGAAAGCATATTGTGTAAGTACAAATATTATTGGATTTTATAACTTGAATTTACATTATGCATTTTACATATGGTAAGTGTGCATAGATAGGAAGGCATATTGTGTTAAGTACAAATATTATTGTAGTTTATAACTTAAATTTACATTATGCATTTTAATGTGCTATGTTTTTCAATTCAGCCTTTTCCTAAATAATTGTATACGTAGTGTAATTTTCTCTTCTTGATTTTCAAGAGCTAAAATTAGTATAAAAAAGAAGGAAATACAGTATTTAATATATTTTTTTTTTGATTTATGATCCATGTTACCATTTTAAAATGATATAAATAGTTAGTTGCAATTCTTACTAACAAGAGGTTGGCCTCTTTTGAGGCTAACCTAGACATTATAATATACAATTTCTTCATCCAAATAGTATAAATGCAGTTTATGTACAGGGTGCCTACTAAATTCCAGTGCAACTGCTGAATGGCTGCAGCTATTAGTCATAGGAGTAATGTCTAGGTATAGTAAAGTAGCTAAGCGCTACTAGTCAAGATCGCTTAAGCGAAAGCTGATGGAAAACAGCAGAGTTAACGTTACTAACTCAAAAACTGTACAAGATGGAAGAAAAAAAGTTAATTACAGAGTTGCAGAGCACCATCAGTTTAATGTGAAAAGACCTTGTGGATACGAATGCTAAAAACAGAATATTGAAATCGTTCTGTTTTCAATGAACATTTGTTTCTTCGCAATTTCTGCAACTCTGATGACATGAAACTTGAAAGAAAGGAGAAAACATTATCTTTTGGATAAAAAACAAGCCTACATCTTGGCATGGTGGTACTGTTCGTAATTCACAGTCGAGAGGAATGTGGTTCAACCCCCGCAGGGTGCGTCCTTGTACCGATTAGCTTTACAAACATCCCCTCGGGGCATGCTTGCTAAGATCTATAGTTGGATAGACTCGACTCCAGAGTTATATAAATTGTCTTCATGGGACTAAAACCACCAACTATTCAGTGTTTTGTTCAGAGTCAGCAGGGACCATACGGGTTGTCAAGTCTATCTTGGGCTGTATAATCACTACATTTGATATTGTAAAGCTGTCCCTCAAGAGTTTCACCTCCACACTCCTTGGGGGAGAATTGACACTGCTGTCATCTCTTTTGGCACCTGGTCACCATTGTCTTGCATATTTTCAAACCTGTTTCAACCAAAGTTCTTTGTTGCCTGGGAGAGCCTGTGGATTGCCTATAGGGATTGAAGCATTACTCTGTGTAGGAAGGATATTTCTACTCTTCTGGTGTACTGTCCATACAAACAGAGTAGACAATATGTGGATTGTGCACAATTGTATCGCAAAATACAGTGACTTAATGCAACTTGAGCTTGGTTGCAAAATTTGTGCATTATGCAAACGGTGTATAAAACGTCACACTTGTTCACCTGAGACAACTATAAAAAATATTTCCTCACGGTTGTATGTTGGACGTGATTTTCAAAATAATTATTGTGAAATGGTTCAACTTTATGTTGAATGTGGGTGCAAGACACTATCAGCTTTTACCTGCACACCCATATTCTTCACATAAAATTATCCTACAGGTTGCGAAATGTTTAATGGAGACAGGTTGCTTGACTAGCCGACTTTTATCCCACAGACCAGATAAGGTAGGATGGAAAGTTCAACCAGAAGATGTATTATCATATGCCCTCACATATTTGAATAGCCGTACAAGAGAGATAAATGGAAACTGTGGCCCCTCAAAAAGTCGCATTTGGAAAATCCTACATGAATTAGATTCTCATCCATACCAAACAACACCTCATCAGGCATTACTGGACAGGGATGCTGAGAGATGTTTCATACAGTGCAACTTCATCATCAAACGTTTCATACAGTGCAACAGACTAGAAAGAGGTTCAACCAACATTCTTGGCCGATAAAGTATGAATAGATAAAGCATGTTTTTCGTGTAAGGAAGTATATAATAGGCAGAATACCCATTACTGGACACTGGAAAATCTATCATGTTCTGCCATGAAATATGATTTTAGATTAATGTTTGGTATGTTAATGGCCGCACGATATTTGGAACTTCTGCAAAGCATAATACCCGATTTTGCTGAGAACTTGCCATTGCTTCAACTCTAAAATGGATGGTTTTATGTGCACCTGTGCTCAAGACATCGCCAGTGAAGGAATTCAGAGAACGAATTATTGTGCATTGTGGTTCCGAACAGTGGCTTCGATGTTCACCTGACCTGACTCCAATGGACTTTTTCCTGTGAGGATATCTTCGCCCAAGAGTTGACTCGGGAGAATTTCTGGGAAATACTGGCTGGGGTCTGTACTTAAGCAGTCTCAACTATGGGGCCACATAATTTGACTTCACAGGACTAGAGCCATAGTTCAGTCTAAGGCTGGTTCAGGCTTGGCAGGGACCGCACTGTTCACCTTGTACTGTCGTGTTTGTTCCTCTGGCTGTTGTGGAGCTAGATCAGAGATCACCGAGCTAGTCAACGGGGGTTTGGCCCTCAGTGACAGGGACTATCAGCGGACAGCGCACCAAGACGATTACTTCGATGCCAATGAAGTGGTGCTTGGAGGCAAAGATGACCCAGTGTTCTAATTTGTATTAAGTTCCAAAGCGTTTTCTGCCTTGTCCAAGGCTATGTATGAAGCCGGGCAGGGACTGTGGGGTCTGCACTGCTGTCGAAGGGATCACTAAGGCATGGATATCATAGCCCCGATATGACAGACCCGAAGGGTCATCTAGGATGGAGGTTCCTGCTTTGGAGTTCTGTGGGGATACTCAAACAGCAGGTGTATGTAACCCCTCCACGAACATTGTAGTACCTTCAACTGCAGATGGTTGTGTTACCTGCTGTGCTATAATGTGTAGTTTTAAAATGGGTCCACATGTACATTTCAGCTCATGGAGAGACATTTGAAAACTAAAAGTAAAAAGTTTCTTGTGATAACTAGTTGGTTATTCTTTACTTTCTAAGATTGTATTGTCACGTGTAGGAAATATTGAACAAACAAAATGTGCATTTAGAACGTTCTGTTGTTAACATTCATGACCTGGAGATGCCTTTTTATACTAAACCTGATATTCCACAACTTTGTAATTCACTTTTTTTCCCCCATTCTTGTACCGTTTTTTGAGATAACAATGCTAACTCTACTATTTTCCATCAGCTGGTGCTGTAAGCAGTCTCATCTAGTAGTGCATAATCACTCTGTAATAGCTAGGCACCACTTTTATGACTATATCTGTAGGCACCCCCCTGGGGGTCGATGTAGGGAACTCTGCGAAGCTACTGATTAGGATCTACACTTAGGCAGTCCTCGGCCACGGGAGTATAAAATTTATGAGCATGGTGGTCCAGGAGGCCCCGAAAAAGTCACCCATTGTCTGGCCCGGTAGTTTGGCGAGTCCTAGAGCAGTGCGGCTCTAGTAGCCGAGGGGTAGTTCCCTCAGGTTTGCTGGGTAATGTCCCACTGCGACTGGTAGATAGCAAATCTGATGATCAGTGTCGCCTAGGTGATGCATCCTTCTCTTCAAGGTGCAAAGGCTGAACCTCTGTGCCTGATTCTAAGGGGTGAAGGAACTCACAGTGCGGTTTAGTCTCGCGGAGTGAGGAAGCCCATATCTTATATCTGTAGGCATACTGCATTAAACAGGTGATACGAGACCCAGTATATTTTATTTTGTGTTAAAGCTGTTCAGGATTTTGAAATAGTAATAAGTTATAGATAGAGCAGGAAAACCCATCCAAAACCATTAATTAATTCTAGGAAGAAGAGCTGCAGAAATACATTAAATCAGAAAATGCAGGATGGATTACTAAAAGTTCTGAAGATTCTAAACATGAGCCCATTGAACTGCAACCTCAGCCCAAACTTTTAGATGTGCAGACCAAAGAAACTGAAATGACAGAACCTCTGGATGAATTTCAGAAATACAGTATTTCACTTTCAGAACCTGTTAAATTTTAATTATGAATAACCTGAAATGCTGCTATTTTTTTGGGTGCAAAATGTTATACATTATTTATACCTTGCACATTTTTTTGGCATTCTGATACTAAACTATGCCTTTCTGATAAATTCCTTAAATTGTGATCTGCGTTTGAAACATTTATATATAACTGTTAATATAAATGGCTTGCTTTTGCAGCAATATACCTACAGGTTTAACATGTATGTGCCTATTTGTAAGTTTATGAATTTGTGAGAGCATATTTTATCCAATAATCCTAATAAATAGCAATAGTAACAGATTTTTATTGTGTAATAAGTTTTATATTTGTACATTTCAGTAAAAAATAACATGAGATTCATACAAAAATATTTTCTGAAGTTCTCATCAAGGGAAAAGTGAGATTTTTATATTGTGTCAACTAAGAGATTCGAGCATTTTTATTATTATACTTTTAACCTTTCCTTTTCCTGAATTGATTTTGATATCAGATCAACAACTTGTGATGCACAGGCTGGGATTTTAGTTCCTGGGGGAGAAACCAAATTATTAATACTTTGTTTGAAATGCTAACAAAAATTAGTAATATAATGATATTTTTAATGAAGGTTTTATTTAATCACTTTGAAATTGTCTAGGCACAAATTGATATCATGATTCTTAGAATTGTAATAAATACTGAACCAAAATGAAAATGCAACACCAAGGAGTGGCCAGAAAGTGATGAAACATGGCAAACAGTGACAGATGGCAATGAACAATTACTGATGTTTATTTCAAAATAATATAGAGCGAAAACAGTGTTGGCTCAGTAGGTTGTGGGACAACCTTGGACAGTGATACACGAAGCAACACGTCTAGGTAGAGTTGGTGAGACTACAGGATAGTGCCTTGAGGAATGGCTCTCCATTCCCTGTCAACTATTTGCCACAGGTAGTTGAATGCAGCAATGGCAGGGTCTGTAAATGGTGTCTCATCACATCTGAGATTGGTGAGAGATCAGTAGCCAGGAAAGCATCTGTACACCTTGCAGAGTACATTGGCTGATGCAAGCAGTGTATCACAACACATAATCCACGTATCATTAGGCCATCATACTGCCCTGAATACATACTAGAGGTAACCTGGAATCGTACGCAGTTGCGCCTCAAATCATAATGTAGCATGGTGGGCGATTCCACAATTGCTGCCAGATTCAACCTGTCTCCAGATCGATGCCACACCTGTACGCGGCGACTATCGTTGGAGAAACAGAAACGTGACTCATCTGAGAACACAACCCTGTGCCATTCTGTCATCTACATTGCTCAAGCCTGGCACCACTTCAGACATTGGCATCCATGATGTGGGATCAATGGCAGTCTTCTTAATGGATGTCATGAGTGCAGGCTACTAGGCACCAATCAGCAGTAACCGATTGTGGTTGATATGGGACATGCTGCAGAAAGGAGGTAGAAGTGGCTTCAGGTGCTTGTCATGCATGTCCAGGTGTGTGTGTCAAATGATATTTGCCATATGAGCTAATCTGCCCTTCTCAGTCTAATCACAGTGCCCCTTGTAAAATAGTCTGCCTGCTGGAACTGCCTCCATTGACGATGGCCTGGCATCTCTGCTATTATACGTGTCCTCTGAGACAAAAACATATTTTCTACAATGACTTCCCTAGCAGAAATAACAGCACAAAGGTTGAACATCCTTCAGTTCCTTATATCTACTTCAACGTACTAGAGAGGTGCACGTTTCACATCATTTGCATAACTCTGTGATGTGCAAGTACCCTGAAATTTGCATAATTTTTGAGCCACTCTTTCTTGGTGTTGCATCTTCAATGGTGGGTAGTGTATAATAATACACTGCCCTCCAAAAGTTAAGGAACATGTTTTTGGCGTCTAATTTGAGAATGAAGCAACATAGAAAGAAGAAATTTAGTGGTCATGTTCACACTAAACATTCATTAAAGAATGTGATGAAGAATGTTTCTTAAGATAAACACAAACATGAATTACCACAAAAAATTGCACTCTTGACAGAGAAACAGTATATCACAGTTTTTTGAGGAGAAACGTGTTCACCCTTAGCTGCAATACATTGGTGGCAGCGACATTCGGTACTGTCAATTATATTGTCAATCAATGAAATGGGAAGCAATGACCAGATACAGTAATCTTTGTTCAAGCTCATCTAACACCTTGAAGGAGAATTTAAAGCAAGCAACCTGTTTCCCAAGGTAATCCCAAAGATGCTCTATTAGATTCAGGTCTGGGCATTGAGCTGACTATTCTACCCGCTACATATCGTGATCCTCAAGATATTCTTCATCAACTCGAACTCTGTGCGGTCACACAGTGTTATCCATCAGAAGAAATGCAAGACCAGGCATATAGGTGGATATATTAATCAAAGATCTCGTTTTGCTATCTCACGGCGGTCAAAGTTCCTTCATGGAACACATGCAAGTCAGTGTGACCACCGAGAAAGATCTAACTCAAACCATTATTCCACCACCTCTGTAACTGTGTCATTTCACAATGTGGGATTGGTTGTATCTGGTGCACGTTCCTTCCAGATCAGCTGATGTCTTGAATTACTCTCCCAGAACAGAAGTCTATTGTTTAGTGGTCCAGGAGACGTGTTCTCCTGCCCAACATGAACGGGCAACTCTCTGTTCTCGGGGCAAGGGGATACAAAAAAACTGGTCGTCTAACATACAGGCCCGTATTGTGCAAGTGTTTGCACACTGTAGTAGCTGAGATTCTTGTTACTGGGGCCACTAAATGATCTGCCATGAGACGAGACACAGTAATGTTGCTGTTCCTTGAAGCCGAGAGAGCTAAATAACAGTCTCCTGCAAATGTTGTAGTTCTCAGTCTGCCTGGAACGTGTTCTAGATACTGAATCCTCAGATTCAGACCAATTGCATAGTCAGTGGACCATATTACAAGAGACATTGAGACATCTAGCAGCATCAGCTTGTGACATACCCATTTACCATCCTTCAGATTGCCCGCCACCTCAACAAACTTGGCAAACAACTTCTCCTGGACATTGATAGACTATCCTGGATGTTATCCACAAAACTGTGATAAAAACTGAAAATCAACACTCGTGAACAAAAATTACAATTTTTTGCATTTTTTCTCCAACTCCTATATAAGTGTCCATTTCTATAACATAAAAGTGGTACCTATTGTTTTTGCATATATTTTCTTAAACTTTGTTACCATCATCTATATATATTGTTAATTTAAATGTTACTGACGTTTTTGTAATGATGAGCTTTGAAAAACATGCTGTTCCTTAACTTTTGGAGAGCAGTGTACTTCGTTAATCAATGAATGTCAAATACTAATTTCTTTCAATAAATCAACCCCTCTCTGTATTACACCATATTAAAATTGGACTGTATTCAATGATAAAACATACCTGGACCAAATATGGCTGCCGCTCCAGCTTTATACAGGAAATCATAATCTTGAGGAGGAATCACACCACCAACAAAAATTAATATATCACTGTAAGAAATAAAAGTACAGCATTTAATGTATGAGAAAGAATAATGAGTTTTATAAGTTGAGAACGCATAAAAAGGTTCTTCTTATAATAAATTCGCGTTTATTTAACTTACATATTTTAGTACATACAAATTCAAAAGATGAACAAAATGTCAATTAATTTACCATAAATTGCATGCATTGTTTTTACATCCAAAACATTTTAAAGTTATATTTGTATTTGCTTTTAAAGTTATATTTGTATAGTAATGTTGGTTTCAGTATTGTATTTTCAAATGTTATATGATACCAATTTTATTTTCACTTGTAAAACATCTTATTTTCATTACGTTTTATTTTAATTTTTTATTGTAAGATATCTTAATTTATTTTCATACAAAGTATAACTTTATTTCTACTAACACTGGCAAGTATTTTGAATGTAGCTGCTCAAAAAGGCAAGCAGAAGAATCACAATTTTAGATTACAAAAATAAGATAATATCTAAGCTATATTCATTATAATGAGGTAAAGCATGTCTTGATGTCTAGTGGAATACTTTACAAAATTAGTATGGATTCCTAGAAATAACAGGAAAATATAATGGATTAGTAAATCCAGTTTCTTATCATGTAATCATACATCATTGCATCATTCATCAACAGTATGCGCAAAGACTAGAATGCTTTATATGGAATGAATATAAAGTTTCTATAATCTCCCCCCGTCTCAGAATTAGAATTATTTTGGAAAAAAAGGAAAAGATCTGTTAAAAGAATCTATAGCTGAAAATCCAAGTTATGCAATTGAGAACTATTAGACAGAATAAATATTCTAAAAAGTACAGGGTGGGCCAAATAAGATCTACCAATGTTAAACACAACTTTTTTATTTTTTGATATAATTATATTTTTTCTTTTTGTACGTTATAATTGAATTCTTGCAAATTTATTATGGAACCATACCGTACAAAACAACGCAATCGTTATATGACGCAGCGTAAATATCGGCAGAATTTTAATTCAAACGTATTGTTTGGTGCATTATCATGGCCAACAGAGTTATTGGCTCATATTTCTTCGAAGATGGAAAGCCAGAACCGATTTCCAGAGCTTCTTACAGAACAATAATTGAAAACTTTTTGCGGCCAATGGCAGAGCAGAATCCTTTTTTTATGGGGATATTTAAAAGACAAAGTGTATGCTAATAGACCAAAAGTATTAAACAGCTGAAGCAGAATATTCGAGATGAAATATTGAGCCTCCAACCAGAAACACTACGTGGTGTAATGGAAAATGCGTTAAAAAGAGCTAATCTCTGTATCGAGAAAAATGGTGGACATTTGTTTGATGTCATATTTCATACAGAATATCCATAAACTATATTTAATATATAAAAAATTAATCAAAATAAAATGATTATTACAAGAGTTATCCGTGTTTAACATTAGCAGGTTTTATTTGGCCTACCCTGTACAATACACAATCATGTGAGGAAAACTGGGAATGCAAACTGCTGCAATATATAAGTATAGCTTATCCTTTATCAAGTCTTTGCATGTAATTTTTTGCTGAAAAAATAAAGAAGCTCCTTTTTTGAAATGGCTCATTAATGGAGGTAAAAAGTGAATACTATACAGTAATGTTACAAGAAAAAGATTAAGGGGAACCCAAAATAACCTCCCATAATAACAATGAGGAGACTTCATCCCAAAAAGTTATACTTTGTGTATACAAAGAATTGTATTACAAAGGAATTATGTACTAAGAATTACAACACTAAGAATGCAATACTAGGAATTATGTACTAAGAATATTCAATTACAAAGGAATTGTATGCTAAAAATTTTTACCACCAAATTACACAAATTCCAAAAAATACTGCTCTCAAAGAGTAGAAATCAAAGCAAAGCATACACAACTGACGTATCTTCGAAATGTCCATCACAACAATACTTGGTCCCACATTTTAATGAATGGGTGAAAAAATGTATCAAGTATGGCTGAGATGTTTTGTGCCCCCCCCCATATTCACAAGACCTTTTCCTCTCAAATTTTCATCTCTTCAGGTCACTTCAAAATTCATGGAATGGTCTGTAGTTCACTACTGTGGAGACTGCCAAACAGAATGTTGATAACTTCTTTATGAAAAAACCTAATGACATTTAAAAAAAGGGAATTTTCTATTTGTCTGAAGATGACAAAACGTCATAGAATAAAATAGTGCTTATAAGATTCAATGGAAGTTTCTTATGTTTTTGTACTGCTTTATTGGTATTTATCATTAAAAAAACTTTTCAGATGAAACAATAATTAACATGTTTTTATTTTAATTTTCCATTTCCTTCTCTTTTTTTTTATTTCACCTTCCCCATTTTAAACACAATTCTATTAATAACAATGGGTGACTAGATGACTAAGTATTTCTATGTTAAACATCTCACAGACTTAAAATATGAAACAAACTTATAAAGAAACTGTGTGAGCACATCCAAGTACTCGTGCACTTTAGAATAGTTTCAGAAGCAATAGGTCCTAAAAGTTTTTGCTATAACTTAAAACAATAAACTATTGGTTCCTTAACACAATAAACCATTGAAAGGGGAAAAAAACTCTGAACTGTTTGAAAAACTTGAAAACGAATTCACAAAAATATGTACATGTATCCAAAAGTTTTCGGGTTCATAAATAAAAATTGTTTCACAATCATTTCTTCTTGCAGACATCTAGTGGCAATACTAAGAATAAATTTGCATTTAATTTATTTAAAACAACTGCACATTCTGCATGAACACTTTCACACGAGCAAAGTCTCCACCAGATGGGTTACCTGACTTCAAAGATGATGACGTTTTGTTTGCTAGGAGCAGTTGTTGCAACTTTATAGTCAGTTATAACTGATAATAAAAACAATTCTCTATCAAAGACAGAGTCAGTAAATTGAAGAAAACTAAGTGCTTATAAATTCTAACACAATCACAGAGCAACAACTCAGCATAACAACACAGTTCAAGTTCTTAACTATTTCGTTAACAAACTTATTCTCATGGTTCGATGTAGCTGTTTATACAGGGTTACCTAGTTTTCTGGAAACTTGGAAAAATTGCTCTTAGTAAGCTTTGAAAATGTGTTTTCTGGAAACTTGCAGAAAGTTACTAAGTTGGTGATAAAAACTGTGTTTAAGACCTGTCCATCCTACCTGCATCTTGGCTCTGAGTTATTTTCACAATTTACATATTAATTCAATTCAATATATAATTCAGGATTATAAAAGCTATAAAACATAATGGATAGCTAAAAGTTTAGGTTAACAAAAATACACATTAAAACCACCAAATAAATAAATAGAAACAATATATAAAATTACACAAAAATCAAAATATAATTAAATAGTTACTGCAATATATCTGCACACTTTCAACATAACCTGATAAAGAGGGGAAATGAAGATAATGAAAGGAATGATTTAAACCATGATATATTTAAAAATTTAAATGTTCATTTAGCAAACATGAATGCATTTTAGACAAAATCTTACATGAATGGGAAAGTTATTCAAGACAGTTTTAAGTTTCAAATCATTTTTTCAAAAACCTAAACAACTGAAATATACAATATGTAAATTAGATCAGTTTACTTCACAATGAAATCTTAAATACATGCACTAACGATCACTATATTATCACTGCAGCATTTCTAAATCTCCGTAATTTAAAATGATTCCTGTTTTATAGTGGCAGAACAGTAATGATGGTTTTTCTTTCAGCTTTTAGAAAATAGGCATGAAAAAAAATCTCTCATTATTACATTTTTTTATGAATTAAAATATCGTTTTGATGATAATCTTAAATCAGAAAAGGTATTCAGCATTCTGAATAAATTACTTTTTACCCAGATTTGAAGCTAATTAATAAATAAAAGGAAAACTATTAAAAAAAAGCATACTCTCTTTTAAGATCCTTCAGAGCTTTTGCTAGTTGAGGAACTAGGGTTTTATGAGCAGCTGCTAAGCTACTTACACCTACAGCATGAACATCAGCATCAACAGCCTGCTGAGCTACTTCATCTGGAGTCTATAAACAAATAATAGAAGAATATGCCGTAACAATTAAATTATAGCATTATTTTTAGTTAATATGTAATGCAATGAAATTTACATACTTTAACATGTTTAAGAAATTCTAATCTTTCTCAAACAGAAGAAAAATAACAAGTTCATACCAGTCAAAATAATCAACAGAATTTAATGAAAGTGTGAGTGTGTGTGGATGCAGTAAATCTTTGCTAAAAAACAGGCGTTATGTCATTAACACATTGCACATTTGGCAAAATGGCATTCTGTAAAGTAAACTTTTTATGCAAGGGGGGGGACAATTTAGGTTTAGTTCAGATTAAGAACGTATGTAACTTGTACAAACCTAAATATCATTATAATTAAAATGGGAAAGTGAAACAATATAAACTGAAAGGATTTCTGTTACTGCTTAATAAGTAGGTACATGAAACGATTATTTTTTTAAATAACTGGTTACTTTTGCAATTGGAGTGTCTGACGCAACTTTATCTCATGGCAAGGAGCACTTTTTCTAAAGTTTTTTAATGCCTCTTATAAAGTGTCTTCTTTATTCATTTGGGTCTTCTCTATTGAAAAATTAGACAGTTCCTTTTCCTTCGTTAACCCTTTGCGGCGCACTATACGTTAACGTTGGAATTTCAACAAAAAACATTGTATGGAGCCTATTTAGTCCTAAAGGAGTATACAGGTAAAATTTTGTAAAAATTGCACTTACCGTTTTAATTCTGTGGGTGTTCCATGAGGTGGAACACTGCGCCGCCAGAGCTTTGAAAAGTGCGACCAAGCGAGCATTGCAGTGAAGCGCGAAAATGAGTAAAAGTATTTGTATAAGAATGAAAAAACTCTGTATTATGGCTGTATATATGGTTTCCTGGATATACACAATATTCTTGAATATATACGGATAAATGAGATAAATATCTATATATACTCAAGTCCTATATACAAAGATATTTACAAATTTTCCTATTTCTTAGCTTAGTGAAATTGTTCAAAGCAAGTCACACCTTTTGATGGAAGCACAAACTAACTTTGCGGGTTTTGCACATAAAACTTGTTTTGTGTGGCTTCTGCTTCGTGCTACAATGTGCACATCGTCTACGCATACCCTTCACCAGTATGTGTTCAACACTACTGTAGCATTTTTCCCCGGAAACTTTTACTTTATGCCTGGGAGTATCTTCAGGTCTTGAAGGAAATCGCCTCTTCAAAGTTATCTCTGACGCTTTCATGGCACAGAGGGAACACAGCAAATTTAAACGGAAATCTTTGGGCTGTAATACGAGAGTAATTTATGAAACACTTTTAGCGCTTCGGAAAGAGTTAGACCTCTCCGCGCCATTTATGGAAAATTAATAATACAAAAATTAACTACGATTAATATTAACAATAAAGAAAAATAAGCCTGTAATATATACATACACGAAAAATATCCACACAATTATTGAAAATAAACGGGAATGAGACTAAAAAGCGACAGCAAAAAATTCGCGCAGGTCTCAGTAAAGATGAGTCAAGCTACTAATAAAATTCCCGCCTAAAAATGACTCCCAAAAAATTTGAGATGTCAATATTAGGGCTTTCATAACACAAAACACATCTCACCCCTCAATACTGCTTTGTTTGAATTCATCCCCCCCAAAAAAAAACAACGGAAACAGAAAACGTAAACAACGGATGTTCTCTCCTAAGCACAGATGTTCTGATTCGTAACATTCGTTCATGAGATCGCTAAAGGCGCAGTGTTCCCGCTAATGGAACACCCGGTTTCATTCAATGATTCTACGTATGGTTTTTGTGTGAAAGATTAAAAAAAATATAGAACAAATAATTAGGAGTACAGCCAGATAAATTATGCCTAATTTGCTTTCCAAATAAATTTTTTTATATCATTAAAAAAATAGAGAAAATTACTTAAAAAAAAGTGGATTTTAATAACACATAATAAATGAAAATTCTGTGTCTCCTTGTGATATGCTGCTATCTACTGTTTAAAAAGAAAAGTTCAAAGTATTTTATAAAGGCATTTTTATCTATATACGGTTGAATTTAAAGGTTTCAGAAGCGATTCAATTTGGGTGTTCCATGGAACACTGATCCGCAAAGGGTTAACAAATTAACTTCTTGTTAGGCTTTCTATCATCTTCACTATCGACGCTTTCATCAACGGCTGGTGTTATACGATAATCCAGTTCATCATTTGTCATTTCACCATTGTCATTCTCAACTAATTTTTAATATTTCCATCTTCTAATCTGAAAATCCTTTGCCACTTATTGCTTTTGCAATTTGTGCAATTTCTTATTTTCAATCGATGAATATCATTTAAATTTGTTAACTTCTGGCCAGCACTGTTGTCTGCAAGTGTTCATTGCTGATGATTTCACCTGTTCCCAATGTGATTTATTTGCAGATATGTAAATATGCCTAACATAATAGGCTTTTGAAAGAATTTATGATTCCTAGATCCACTGGTTAGATTAAACCTCTGAGTGGCATGACTTTTTTCAATTTGCTCTTGACCTGTATTTCAACAGCATTTATTAGCTAAATATGTATAATTACTATTACTATTAAAATTTAATTACCAATAAATAACTTTAATTAATCAAATACATACTATTCATTATTTTAGGCCTGGTAATGTAGTGGCTCTGCACCATAGGTCTCAGGTTTGATCCCTGGGTTGGGCAAGGTTGACTCAGCCTTTCATACCTTGCGTGGGTTGATAAAATGAGTACCAAGTTTGCTTGTTAAACACTGGGGGTCCTGCAACAAGTTGACCACTTGCCCATAGCATATGCTGACGCACCCTGGGGCCCTGGGCCCACATACATTTAGTACCTAGCTCTGAGCCCCTCACCTGTAAATCCGTCCCACAAGTCTCATACCTGTAATTATGTAATTAGTCAAGCAATGTTAATAAGTCGCCCCTGTTTGGCCATGTGAACTCCTGCACCCTTAATAAGCTCTCGGTGTGGACTCTTGAGGCCACAGGGAGTTGTTGCCATTAGATAGTGGAAGGCGAGGGACACATGCCTGTTTATCTCTGGTAGCCACCAGGCGTCCCCATCTTCCGTCACCTACCTACCTACCTACCTACCCTGGGGCCCAAGGTCAAGAAAGCAGATCTCAGTGCACTGCAGGTTGTGGCCCATTAGGGCTGTTTAACACTGAGTTTAGCTTAGTATTAATTATTTTAGTTGCTGTTTTTATAAACTTTCATTCTCTGAGATGATATTTACATCATTAAATACAGTAAAAAAAAAAAAAAAGGCAATTATTTTAAATTATAAGCTAATGTATGCAAAACGACAAAAAATCTCATGACCCAGATAAAGCCGATCATGCCACTTAATACATTAAAAGGAAGTGATGTTTGCTGGAAGGAATAAAATCTCTACATTTGGGATGAAATGGCTTCAGTACCATGTCTTGAAGCATTATCGAGATTTAGAACTTTAAGCTCAGGCTTTGCTGTTCTAAATAACATTTGACTTCTTCAATAAATAAATTTTCAAATCAGCCATTCAAGAGAATTATTCAATGCAACCTACACTTGAACATAGTAAATGGAGATAATTAACATAATGCATGTAAGCAAAATCGCACTCCACAAGTCAGTGTTCGGCAAGGGTTTATTGCAATTATTATACCCTTGCCAGGCAAGGGGTACTGCAATTATTATATATATATATGTATATATATAATAATTGAATTATGATAATGCACTTATTTTGGATAAAACCAAAGAAAATTTATTATAAAAAAAATAATGTAAGTATATAAAACAAAATATAAGTGAATTTAGAATTTTATTATATAAATATGCAAATAAACCTTATAACAAAAATACTCAATAATATTTTTTATTATCGAGTATGAAATTAATATTTAATTATGAATTTATAATTTTTTTGTAAAAATGCGACTGCTGCTGTTTCACAGAATAGCACACAGATCTCTGGAGTGTAAATCTCTGGAAATTTTCTTTTCTCATAAATCCCTTCTTTCAAATATATATTTAGCTGTCTTTTAAAAATTATTTTGTGAATGAAGAAAGTGACAGAGAAGTTGCTAAGAAAGAAAAAAAAAATTGATTGGCAATTTAGTGAGAATTTTTGACAAGGGAATTATAGGACTTGAACAATGGAATTGTGCCTATCTGTAAAATTAAAGAAAAAGTATTGGTGCAAAAAATGAAGCAAATTAAGGAATTAACATGAAAAGAAAAAGAGATTTTTAATAAACAAATACCGAGTTTTAATATATATATATATATATATATATATATATATATTTGATTCTCTTAATGTCATAAATGCTCCAATATTTCAAAAATCACTAGCTCATATTTTTAATTTTACAATTTCTAAATGTAATCTGATCAGATTTAAACTGATACTCTAATATACAGAAAAATCTAGAATCGCTGAAGTCCCGACGAGTCCGGATCTCGGACTTTGCATTGTATATATATCACATTTTGCACTTGAAACTTAATTCTAAGAAAATAAATTAATGAAAAAAAAAAAAAAAAGCAGTGACATGAATATTGCAATCCGTTAATAGAAAATGTATTACTAATTATTTGCGTGCGGAGGAATTAAAAAAATACTAGTGCATAGAGCTATCTTCAAGTACATGCTAAATCTCACGTATATGAAATGAATAAGATTTAAGAGCTAAAATTCTAGTACATAACTTACTCGAAATAAAGGCCCGATATCAATATCAAATCCTAAATCTGCAAATCCTGTAGCAATAACTTTTGCACCACGATCATGCCCGTCCTGACCCATTTTAGCTACGAGCACACGTGGCCTTCTTCCTTCTACTTCCAGAAATGCCTGAAAGGTAAAAGAGCTATAATATAATATACACAACACACTTTATAATTTATGTTAAAATTGATGTACAGAATCATATTGTTTCTTACTTCTACTTTTAACCTGACAGCTTCTAATTCTTCTGATTCACCATATTCAGATTTGTAAGCACCAGACACTAATCTATCGGCGGCAACATGTCTTCCAAAAACCTAAAAATAAGCATAGTTAAAATGAAGAAAAAAATTGTTAGAGGTATTTACATGCTTTCAAAGCTTGCTTTGTATAAAATACTTTGAATGTTACGATATTATAAACAACCTGATACATTATTTTTGTATCAGACAGATATCTTGGAATCATTAAACATGCATTTATCATTTTGTTATGGACTATTTATACATAAATTTAATCATTCTAAGATATATTGAATTTTTCCCAAGCATTCATGCAACTGCTCTAATCATCAGCGAGTGCTCTAATCCTAATAGCATTACTTTTCCAGTTTAAGGATTTATACATCAATTTAAATTATTACCATTTTAAAATTCCCAGTTCTAGATTTCTGTGGATTTATATATCAGAATTGAAAACATAAATATTGTTGCAGAATAAATATAAGAGTGATTACTATATAAATATTGATGCACTGGATATATAAAAGTTTTGTTCAATGATATCTCTCTGAATGATCACTTCAAATACCAAGAAGACATTAACAATTTATTATAAAAATTATTTACAAACAACACAGTAAATAACTGCAGCAGCTTAAGCAGAATGCAGATATAAACAATTCCTCCTGAGTGCACGATAAGTATCAGTATTCAGTTAATCTTGCACTTGGATAACAGCTAAAACAGAACTAACAACAATACCAAGCTCTAGACAAGGCCAAGGCAAGAACTTCCGGAAATTTTGGGAAAAATTTGTCACCAAAGCTTGTGAGGAACATATCTTGCATTTCACTTGAGCTATTTTTACATTCTGAATGTTGCCACTCTCAGAACAATAAAATTAACAATTTAATATATAAAAACAAACATTATCAAAATGATATATAGGCCCACAAAAGCAAAGAAAATTCATAAATAACTAAATAATACAATAAAATGGATTTAAATACCTACACATATATACAACAATATATATATTATTTTTTGAGGGAAACCCTATTTTTGATTCAGACAACAATGTTTAGTTGTTATTGAGGCAAATTATAATTATTCAATGCAGAATACATGGTATTTTTTAATCTGACGATGGCTAAAATATTATTTAAAATAAGTCCAGTCATTATTTATTAATAAAAAAGTTTTATTTATCTTAATTTACAAAGCAAAAGATTAATGAATAAAAAAGAAGTAAAATTTCATTTTGAATGAATAGTTTTCCATAAAATTTGACTAAAAACCTTTAAAAGATTTATACAATCAAGGTTTCAGAGTTACAAAAGAACACACAAATTAAGCAAAGATGCAGTAGAAGAGTAGGGTTAAATCATCAGCGAACGACTACTTTCAAAGCATTCTCAATCTATAGCAAAGAGTTTAAAAAGATAAGAGAATAGCCTGTCACTCAAGACAAGGTGATGCAGAAGCTACATCCAAAATCGGAAGATTGTTTCATGCCTTTAACCATGAAGAGAAAATGCACATGGCAGCACAAAAGATAGCTCATAAGCTTCCTGCATTTACAGGAATACATATAACAAGGTTATGCATGCTAAACTGCAAAAAAAGAAGGCTTCTAGGTGAAAATGCTTGTGGTTTATGCTCTTCTCAATTCAGCCCTAATAGGTATATCTTTGAAAAACAATGTAAACATATTGTATTTAACTAGATCCTTCATTAATGAATGGAATTTCTTCAAGAATAAATCAAGCTTTTTTTAAACAGCAGTTCTAGATATACGTTTTAGATTCTAGCTACAACTTTACATATCTACAGACAGTAAAAGATATATTCTCAACAATATTAAAAACAAAAACACTTATAGGTAAAAGAATCATAATTAGAAATGGAATAATATCATACACAGACTTGGATGCTTTTCAAAAGGGGCAATTTGCCCTGAAGGACTATTAATTTCGTTTTGGCATTTCGCTCTGAAAACTTTTAAAGGCTGTTTCACTTTTCAAATCATTGCCATGATATATTATCGCCCTGTGTTATTTTTAAAGAAATTAAATCATGAAGAATCTGCATAAATGTATGTATGTTTCTTGCACTGTAATAAAACAATGGTACTTAGAGCCATCAAAATTTGAATAACATAATCTTCCTTAGAATATGGGCATGTGGAAGCCCTAATTTGAATTTGAAATTTGTTTTATTATCAATTTCAGATTTTGCAACACTTCAACGAATTTTTTATTAAAAAACTAAACGATTTCAAAGTGAGCAATGGCAACACTTAAAAAAAAAAAAAAAAAAAAACATTTTCATCTCCAGCATGCGAGACTCTGTATCTGAAATTCTAAAGATATGCTCATTTTAAAATTTAACTTGTGATATTACTGTTGAACTGAATTTTATAGTTTGAGTACGTAGAACATGATATTTAATAAATAAAAGTAACATTAATTCCCCTTTGGACGTAATTTAAAATCTGAAACCTTACAGATTTTTTGTCCTTTATAATTAAAATTTTTTTTAAGAATATGATATTTACTAAATAAAGGTAACACACAAAACTTTAAATAAAGGCCCCTTTGGATGTAATTTAAAATCTGAAACCTTTCAGATTTTTTGTCCTTTATAATTTTAAGTTTTTTTTAATGTTCACAAAATAGCCAATTCACTTAATGGATATCACTGCATGACTTTAATGAGAGATATCCGTCTCTGAGTATCTTGAAAGTAAAAATAGCTGCAGAATGGACCACAGAACTCTAATAAACAGCTACACATCTTCTGAAAACTCTCATATATAGCATGAATGCTCACTATATGCTTTATATTTCAGCCAACGGAAATGGTATTCTCCCAATAGGTGATCTACCTTACTTAACTGTATAGTTACTTTATGGATCGATAGGTGACGTCACTAAAATTGTTGTTTTTACACATTTTCTTCTTCTGCCATTTCATTCAAATTTGTATGATCAGATTTATTATTAATATTAATAATTTTTTACATTTTGCAAGATATTTATTTCTTTTACTGTTTTTTATGCTGCGTATAAGAAAACTTTCAGTATGCAAATAAAAGGTGTTTTTTTTTAAAATTAGATTAGCTGGTTGAAATATTTCAATGAATTACTCGATATTAATATAACTAAAAGTGAGCCCCTAAAGGCATATATAGTGAATGAAAGTATATTTTTCACATATATAGTGAATGAAATAGATAAGAGGAAAAACAAAATACACCTGGTTTTGTACTGCTATATTTAGTTGTTTCAAAACCTATTTACAAACAATTTGTTGTAAGCAGAGTATTAAGAAAAAAGAGAGATAATGATTTTAAGAGAGATAAATTTAACACTGTTGTCACTTAACAGTTATTTCATTTGATGCTTATTTCAGCTCTTTATAATTTAAATGTGAGAAAAATATTTTACTTGAGAGTAAATTTGTAACATGGAAAAATTGCATGTGAAAGAAACCATAAACATGAACTACACACAAAATAGTCTGAAAAAGAGGTGGCGCCATCTAGTATAAAACTGATTAACTAACTAATGAAATTTGGTAGATCGCCAGTTGGGACAATACCAATATCGCACCTCTTGTTAAATTTTTATTTTTATTTTGTATATTTTTTCCTATGCATAGTTATGTAATACCCATTTCCTCCTTTTCTTTTTATTGTTGGGTTTAAAATACTAAGTTATTTTAAAATTACATAAAATATTTTTTTTTTGTGTGTTCCTTGTATTTTTATTTTTAGATTAAAAACTAAGTTATTTTTAAATTGTATCATATTATTATTATTTTAAATCCACCTGGCACAGATAACTTAATCCTTGAGTTTTTTGAAGGAGATTGATTACCATTTTTGAATAAAACTGGTATTTTTAATCATTTAACTCAGATAGCAAAAAATGAATGTGAGAATTGAAGAAAGAAAAAAGTAATTTTTTGCTTTACAACATCCGTCATATTTACTTAAGATTTAAGTTTATTACCTTGATGAAATATAATGATAATGTCTAAAGCTCCAAATTTTTCATTCAGTAAATTTTTCTATTCAGTAAAATATACTTTCCTGTCTCCCTTATTAATCAAATCTAAACCTTTCTAAAATAATATTTTTACTGACAAGACTTTTAAAACTTTTTAGCCCAGAAGGACTATTAATTTTTGTTTTGGCATTTTGCGTTGATTCACTATAAATGTCATTTCACTTTTAAAATTGTTGCCACCAAACATTAGAGCCCTACACTATATTTAAATAGATTAGAATGAAGAATCTGCATATATGCATGTATGTTTCTCGCATTGTGTGCCCACCAGCAGCCGAGCGGTAAAATCGCTGAACACTGGTAGTTCGGTCCAAGGTTCGAATCCTGCGAACGGGCTGGCTGCATGGGCGTTTTCGTGGTTTTCCCCATGTGTAACGTGTATACGAGCCAGTTTCCCTTAGAAAGTCCTCCATGAAGGCATCTCTCCCTTTAGGCAGATAGCCCTCGAGGCTTTGCCGTAATTAAATAACCAACCTAACTTAACCTTCTCACATTGTGATAAAACGACAGTACCTAGAGCCATCGAATTTTGAATAATGTACGTTTCCACCCGAATATGAGCATCTAGAAGACCAAATTTGGAATTTGTTTTATTATTTGTTTCATATTTTGTAAAGCATTTATGAGTTTTTGATGAAGAAACTTGACGATTTCAAAGCAAGCAATGGCAACAATGAACCGGGGGGGGGATTTTTAACTCCAGCGTGCAAGATTACTATTGGAAATTCTAAAGATACGCTCATTTTAAAATTATTTACCATATTGTTGTTGAATTGAATTTTATGGTTTAAATGCAAAGAACATGACATTTAATAAATAAAGAATTTAATAAATAATGTAAAATCTGAAAGCTTTCAATCATTAAAATGGTTTAATTTTTGAAACTATACAAATAAATGAAATGTAAAATTTCATATCAATTACCCCCCCCCCTCCCGTACAACACATCTGCATATTTAGGTACACATTATATGATTTTTACTCACTTCTTCCATAGCTTGAGTGATTTCTCCAACTGTAGCTCGGTTACTAGCAGCTGTTACTGCAAGATCTAATAAATTCCCATTTCCAGTCCGAGCACAATCTGTAATGGCTTTTAAAGCTTGTTGAACCTGAAGCAATATAATAAAGACGTGGGAGTTATCTGAAAACCATATAAGTTTCATTCATTGTAAGCTATAGTGTTTTACAAAAACAGATTTCATCATTTCATACAGAATAGATATTTTTCTTCAGAAACTTCAGCTTTTAAGGAAAAATTGCAACCAGCATTAAATGAAAAGAGCATCCAGACTTCAAAAAAAAACATGATTCTTCTCATCAAGAGTTTAAAAACTAATAGAGAAGATAATGAGTAACACATTTTTCTCAAATGGAAAATTTCCCATATTGTGGTGAAATACAGTGGTACCTCGATATACGAGTGTTCTGAGATACGAACCGCCGAACGAGCAATATTTTGCTTTGAGAAGAGAGCAAGATTTGAGATACGAGGAATCGCACACGACCGCAACATGCCCGCGCATGTTGGTGTCGTGTGCAGCGTCTAACAGTTTCTCCCATCTCAAACTAGACTTGTTTCTCTGGGAAAATCCATGGGTCTGGAGGTGGATGAGAGAGATGTGAACGAACTCGTCGAGGAACAGTCTCAGGAGCTCACAACCGAGAACTTGCACGATCTACATTCGCAGCAGCATATGGTGGTTCAAAGAAATATTAGTTTTGAAGAGGAGCCGGAGATGGAGGAGGTTATCCTTACAAGCGATATAAAGAAGATCTTGGGAATGTGGGAGAAAGTTGTACAGCTCATGGATAAAAATTATAAAAATTACCCTGAGAAAGTTGCAACTGGTCGTGCATCGGAGTTCGTTTCGACGAAACTTGCCTAACTGATTTTCGCAATATCCTGAAAGGGAGGAAGAAACAAACCTCCTTGGACAGTTTTTTTAAACGAGCTGCAGGTGAAAATGAGCAAAGCGTGATGAAAAAATCGAAGACCAGTGACGAAAATTAAGCACTTTACATTTTCTTTTAATTATGTTTTTATAGAATATGCATTTGTTATTTATAAATAAATGTTTCTTCTTGTAAATACATTTTTCATATTCAAAAACACTTAACAAAAACAACTGAGGTGGTGTTTGGGGAGTTGGAACGGATTAATGGCATTTCGACTAATTTCAATGGGGAAAATTGCTTTGAGATACGAACAACGAGCAAGGTTACGGAACGAATTAAACTTGTATGTCGAGGTACCACTGCATTTAGAATATATTGTCACATATTAACAATTCATAAATAAAGAAACCAGATGATTCGGAAAACCCAAGAAAGAGGAAAATTGAAACTTTTAACTGTAGCACCAAACAATAACAATTACCAAAAATAAATTAAAGAATTAAAAAAATTAACAACAGAACTAAAAAAACTGCATTAATTTTCCTTATCAGAGAAATGAATATTATGCATTAGGTCCTAAAAGTCCAAGATAACCACTAATTAAAAATACATAATTTCATGTTTCAATAGAACGAACAGTACTGGAAACTTGCCCTCTGAACAAAAAAATGAGAACACTAAATACTTGAATTCAAACTATAAATTTCCTTCTCAAATGGCTGTGAGGCTCCTGAGATATATATATTCTTAAGAACAAAGAGAAAAATATCAGTAATGTATTTTGGAAAAGCCATTTTATAATATTCTAGGCTTAAAAAAAGGGAGGGTGTCTTTCAGAATGATATAAAATTTTGCAAGAAATCAGATATTTGCAACTTAGTAATAACAATTTGTCACATAAATTCGCACAGAACTATTACAAATACTATAAAATAATAAATTGGTAAAACATACAAAAAATTATCACAACAAATTGAATATTATACAAAATACATATAAAATGTGCGAAAATTATAAAAAATGAAAACATAAAATAAATAAACAAAAATAAGTATATGACAACATATCAATAAAAACTATTCTATAATAAAATTTTAAAAAGGCATTTTAAACCAGATATAATTTTAAAACTTATTTTTTTTTCTTCAAAATTATGCATATATATAAAAGAAAGAGCAGCGGTCACTTTTTATTTTTTGATACTGGACAAGTAAGGATTTTAACAGTTTTTTATAAAATTTCATCCATTTTTCACACTTGCAGCCTGTCGAGGTAGAGTAGCTAACATACAATTTAATTTTCTAAATTTTTAATTAAAAAATTTTGGCCTTACTAAATTCTGCATTGGGTAGCTCAGATACAGGCTATGATTTTTAAATTTCTCGAGGCACCAACTTGGAGATGTCACGAGGAAAGTAAAATTAGGATCTTTTATGAAACCTAGGATCTTTTCTTAATTTTATGCAGCGATTGTGTTCACTGCTTTGTCATTTTCTGTTGTACTTTCCTGTTTCAATGGAATATGAACTTGAAATTTTATATACATATATAAACAATATCATAAATGGCTATCAATCCATTTTCATTATTGAACATAAATAATTTTTTTCATATTTAACGATAAAAATTTACTCAATTCTTCATTTTTTTCAGTTACTTCGACAGGTCCAGCTGACAGAATCTTACGCAATTTTTAATTTTTTTAGCTGTTTGTTCTTTTCCTAAATTTGAATGTAATAAACAACTGAATTAATGTTTAAAAATATTTAAATGTAAGACAGTTTAAAGTATCAAACAAAAAAATTAATTATTTAATTAAGCATCAAAAGTCGTGTTTTGCGTTAGCTGTATTCTCAATGTCACAATCAACAAATGCTAAAAATTTCATTCATATTGCTAAGATTCTTCGATATTGTTTTCATAAATTAGTGTGAGCAAAAATCAAGCTGCATTAGAAAATATTACACATAATTCTTTTACAGAAATTTTGCATAATTCTTATAGAAAATTTAAAAAAAAAAAAAAAAGGAAAAAGGCACAAATCCTTCATTCACTCAAGCAAGTTAACTCAAGTTCAGGAAATTGAAATTTTCTTATGCATTTTGGCAAACCTGCTTCAGGTTAATCTTTAGTTCTGTTCTATGTACAATTATCAACTAAATATGTTTGCTAGACAATTCTGTGCTTATTTCCTCTCAGAGGAACAAAGCTGCACATGTTTGCTTTACCTCCACAGTGCACATTTACATTCCACAATATTTTACCTTGATTTTATACATGACATAGTACATACAGTCAAAAGTCGTTAATTCGGACACCCATAATCCGGAATGATCTATAATCTGGACCTCAAAGCTACAAACTTTCTGCGCATGCGTCGCATTCACGCATGCGCACAGGCATTTACGAGAGCGCGTAAGACCCTTACGGCTGCGAATATGTTTGTGGGCATGCGCGTTTAAATTGTAACGGAGTTATACGCTAAGCTAAAGTTATCTAATTCAGTTAATGTTGCCGATTGCGTTGTTCCTTAATCTTCGAATTGGATCCGGCTTATTATTTTTTGCAGACTGTCAGAGCAATTTTATAAAAGTAAGCTTGAACGTTCGATTATGTCAAATAGAATTTCCGATATATATTTATTACAAAGCGAAAGTATGTTTTGAAATCCGAAATCTGTTTATCAATTTCACGCTGCTCTGCGGCAGAGGGGGGGGGGGCAGAAGAACGTCATTATTAGATTATGATAGATTAGAAAGATTATGTCAAATAGAATTTCCGATATATATTTACTAATATGTAATTTGTATCTACAAAGTGAAAAAGTGTTTTGAGATCCGAAATCTGTTTAACAATTTCATGCAGGGGGATTGGGAGTGATCTGTCAACACTATCCTTATCTTCAGGGCAGATGTTTTTATTTTATTTGGTTTATAATTCCATACTAAGTGTACTATTTCATTCTGTCTTTGATATGATTTAAATCAAGTTCCTCGTCATTATAATTCGCTTCCGATAGTGAAGAAAGTGACCCAGAGGTTATTGAAAACGAAAACATTTCGATTGACAAATTAGTCGGTATTCTCAACACAGCAATTATAGGACTTGAACAGCGGAATTTTGTAACTAAACAAGAAATTATGTCTGTTTAATAGAATTAAAGAGAAAGTATTATCATATGAAACGAAGCAACTTACATTGAAGGAAATGTTTAATAAAGTAAACAAATAAATATTAAGCTTTTTTTTTTTTTTTTTTGTAATTTGATACCCTTTAGATCATAATTGTTCTTTATTTCATAAATTACGGTTTCATATTTTTAATTTTGTAATTTCTGCATGCCATCTTACCAGATTTAAACTGATGATCTATAATCCGGAAAAATCGATAATCCGGAATCGCCGAAGTCCCGATGAGTCCGGATTAACGACTTTTGACTGTATATTTATTACTCTATCCTGGATATAGCATAAAAACTAGTTATTTAGCTCACACAGTAGTGGACATTTAGAACACATTGGAAATGATTTGGAGATATGCTATTTCTACAGATGAAAATTTTGATGATAACTGTCTTGACAGCAGTGTGACAATGACATTAACTGTAACAATTGCTCATCTATCTTCAGAATCGTCATTCAGAGTAACTCAATGTAGAAAAATTAATATTTGATACTTTTAATTACAACTGCCCAAGTTTCTTTGTGGGTTCTTCCTTTTCTCTCTTTATCAACTAGACTAACCTAGACTAACAGATCAACTAGACTAACAGATATGCATTAAGGCAGGTCAATGATCCAAAAGAATGGTTGAGAGAAGTTAATACAGTCAAAAGTCTTTAATCCGGACTCGTCGGGACTTCGGCGATTCTGGATTATCGATTTTTCCGGATTATAGATCATTAGTTTAAATCTGGCAAGATGGCATGCAGAAATTATAAAATTAAAAATATGAAACCGTAATTTATAAAATAATGAGCAATTATGATCTAAAGGGTATCAAAATTTACAAAAAAAGAAGCTTAATATTTATTTGTTTACTTTATTAAACATTTCTTTCAACGCGCGATTGCATAAAGCATACCTTACGCATAGCCGAATTAGAAAATTGCAACCAGAAAACTATTTGATTTGTATTCGTGATATTTATAATGACGATGAATTTGATTTAAATCATATCAAAGATGGAGTAAATGAGATTAAATACTACATTTAGTAAGGAATTATAAGCCGAATAAAATAAAAACATCTGCCCTGAAGATAACGATAATGCTGACAGAACAACTTCCAGTTCACTGCGTGCGGCGACGTCCCCCCCCCCGCGCAGAGCAGCGTGAAATTGATAAACAGATTTCGGAACGGTTAGATAAACAAAGGATATGCCTTTATCCATTTTTTGTAGCAATTCGCTTTTTGTTTGATGGACATCGAAACATACTTTCGTTTTCTAGATCCTTTGGGAGCTCCAGCATCGGAAATTCTATTTGACATAATCGAAAGTTCAAGCTTACTTTTATAAAATTGCTCTTACAAGTCTGCAAAAAATTAATAAGCCGGATCCAATTCGAAGATTAAGGAACAACGCAATCATCAACATTAACTGAAATAGATAATTAGATAATTTTAGCTTATACCGTCCATTATAAATTAAACGCGGACGCGAAAACGTATTCTGCGCTTGCACAGACGTATATGTGCAGTCGTAAATGTCTTGTGCGCATGCGTCAATGCGGCGCATGCGCAGAAAGATTTTAGCTTTGAGGTCCGCATTATAGATCATTCCGGATTATGGGTGTCCGAATTAACGACTTTTGACTGTGCATATAAAAGATGAGCATAAAAACAAGAAAAGAAACATACATTTTGTTTATTTTATTCATAAATCTTATTTTCTGGATAATAAAAATGTAATATAATCAAAAGTTGAAACAGGCATGAGATATGAAAGAAAACAGAATGAGATATGAGCCAAGCAGATGATAAATAAAGTAATCCAGCCTTATAAATCTTCACACATAGAAATTTATGTCTATTTCATACAGTGGAAGTTATCAGTTCAAAAATTGCACAAAACACCAATCTGAAATTTTCGGTAAACTTATTAATTTTTTAAAAAAGTTTACCGAGTGTTATATATCATATACATATACATTTGAGCAGCATTAAAAGGTTCTGTAAGTACATAAAAATGGGGGGAGATGAGTTTGGACTGCCAACTGAACAGCAAAATTGCAGAAATGGTTCACACTGATAACAAAACCCTCATGCAAATTTCGCATTATAACATAAATGTACAAAAAAAGTCTAATAACTTTAACCAAAGAGCCCTGTTAATGGAGTTAAACATAAGTAGTAATAATGAGCTTAGTATGCCCTATAATGTAATAAAGGGAAACTAACTTTCATTGGGAGAAGCTGACCAGCCAGTGTAATGAATTGAAAAATTAATAGTTTTGTGAAAGTTGGTTTTTGCAAATAGTTTACACATCCTTTCTGAAAGTGTTGCAATGTAAGGGGGGAGAAGAAAAAATAGTGAACTTTATAGTATCACTGCTGAAAACATAAGACACACTGCTTACAGATACTATAGTTAAGAGTTTTGGATCTGAATTTGATCTTGAATAAATAACATTGAATAGACTGAAAACACTAAACCAGGAATCAGAAATGCAAATTTGGATTTTCATATTAAAGACAAAATATAGAAAGCGTTGATTTAAAATGAAGCAATAGCAAATCAACACTAAAATAAACAGGACTAAATTGAACGAGGAAAAGGTCAAAAGAAATTACATGAAGAGTATGTTTCAATAGTTAGAAGGTCATGTCAGTTTAATAATTTTTGGTTGAAACACACACAGTAATTACTTTCACATCTTTTCTACAAAATCAGATCAACTCCATGTTTTTTTTTTTTTTTTTTTTTTTTTTTTTCGACATAGTTAAGTCAAAATTAAAGAAAAATGGCACATTCTAAGACAACTAATGGAAAACAAAACTACAGCATTGCTTTTTTCAGTTAGAGACAGATGCTTATGAACAGTACAGAAAAGAAATGGTAAAGTAGATTTTCTCATCAAAATAAGTTATAGGAAGTATTTTCTTGTCTATTTTTAACAACTCCACCTCATATATGAATATACTATTATACAGATCTGAATTTTTAGTCTAAAGAGGTAATTTGCCCAGAAGGACTATTAATTTCATTTTGACATTTTGCATTGGTTCACTATAAATGTCGGTTCACTTTTTAAATTGTCGCCACCAAATATTAGAACCAAATATTAGATATTTAAAGAAATTAAATAATGAAGAATGTTATGTGATGCAAATGAGGCATTTACACTTACGCTACCTTACAAATACTGCTCTAAAATTATTGTCATTTGATGTGGCATTTTTAACTTTAATTTGAAAGGTAAGTTAAAAACTATATTGATTAACAAACTGAACAATAATTCTCTACAAAGTAACTAAATATTATAACTATTGATAGAAAGGCTTTGTATTGCAACCTAAAACCTTACAGCCTGAGCTAGAATATATTAGAAAATAAAAATTCATTTAAAAATATTGTGCAGATTTTTTAACTTGCAAAATATTCTCATTTAAATTTCACATGTTATATTATATATAATTTGAAACCACAGAAAACAATTAAAATTCTTTTCTTATATTAAAACTGTTGATAAAAATGTGAATAGTAATAAATGCAGACAGAGAAATTATAAAACAAATCATTCTGTATTTCAGAACCAGAAAGCATGAAATTCAAGCCATACACTGAAAGTTTATATTCAAGAATACAATATATTCCACATTATTATACATTCCAGAATTATATACTGTTGTAAATAGAAATACGTAATTCATATGTATTAAGACATCATCTGCTATTACTGGTTTTATACAATGCATTCCTCTCTTTTTGTATTCTCTGTAGAAATTTTGCTTTGTTCTGATGGTTTAGTAACATTTCAAGTGAAAGGATGAATAAACTTAAATATTTTCCATTTTTTAGCCTTTTGACCACTGCAGATTTATGGATCTGATGAGGAAAAGCTATATTTAACCCTTAGTGCTCCACTGGCTTCACTACGGGACCATCCGGCATTTGTTCTGCTGTTTAGCCAAATGCTTTTAGCATGATAACGCTTAAAATGCTGCGGTATCGTCGGCATTAGCAATTCTTATCTGTAGTTAAAACATGCTCATTCTGTGTACTGTTACGATTAAACCTTTTTTTTTAATCTTTTTTACGGTTAGCAACATAAACAAAAATAATTATTATGATGAGAATTTTGAGTGGCAGTGAAGACGTGTTTGATTTTCAGGTGTTAAAAGATATTGCGAAAGACAATGTTGATTATAATTCTGACACTTCAGGCAGTGGTTCCGAAATGATACTACCAAAGAGACGATGAATGAGAATTATTGAAAATGAAGATGAAGATTCGCGGGAAGACTTCGATGTGACGCTTGCCCAAGTAAACCCAGGATGCACATGGGAGATTGTTTCCAAAGATATCACACCATGGTGAATTATAAAATTTAAAATTTATTTGTCATTTGCAAGAAGAAAGTGCATATGTATAAAATAAATAAAATAAAAAACATTCACAAGCATGTGTAATTCTTCTCACTTAAAATAAGACTCCGTTTCACTCATTCCGCTGCGAAAATGTGCCGAAGTTGCTGGTAGGTAGTGGTACAAAATGTGTGGAGCACTAAGGGTTAAACATTTATTTTCTAGACCCTATATAAATTACTGATTTTATTGTTTGTTTTCATAACCTTCCATCCATCAGGCTGATATTAGATCATTAAAAAATTTAAGAAAAGAAAATAGTACTTTAAATACCAACTTAAGACATATGCAAACTGAGAAAGAACCTCATTACTGCCTAGTGATGGCCATATTGCTCAGAGGATTAAATGTATATATTACAAAATAAATGTATATTTCGAATCTCAGAACTATTCTTATATAAGATTTCAGCAATGCTTATTAAATCCAAACTAATTTATGATAATTTTAACGAATTACATACCACATCAGAATCCCTGGTTGCTTTAATTTTCTTAATTTTTTCTATTTGCAGTGCACAAACTTTTGTATTATCAATCACCAGAACATCAATAGGATCTTCTTTCTCTTTTTGATATTTATTAACCCCCACTATGACTTCTGGAGGCAAAAAGAAATGAAACACATATCATCAAAAAAAGAAATACTCATTAATAAAAAAATAATCATTCTATTTTCAAGTAGCAAGCTTTTTTTTTAAAAAAAAGTCCTGTCCTTTAAATTTTCAACACCAATGTCTTATGATTTAGTATATCAAATTTCTTAGAATGTTAGGTTTAATAATTTCAGAGGTCTTTAACCCCTTTGCGCCGACTGTCACGTATACGTGCCAGCAACAAACACACTTACCTAACGGCCGACACGCAGGCGTGCCAGAGGATTGTTCCATTCTCTACCGACTGTCACGTATTTGTGCCAGTACTTTGGAACGTTTTTCAAACTATAATTTCTGCCACAAGATGGCACCGTATGTCCACATGGTTTCAGATACATGTAAATTAGACCTTCTACTCGAAATGAGAGAAGCATGACTCAAATACATGTGTTTTTGATTATATAAACAAACGGGGAAATAAATGTTTCCGAATGGCGTGATTTATGACGTCTCTTTAAATCGCACTTTATTCGCACGTAGTAGTTGTTTATTGTAAGTAGAAGTTTTATATGCACTAAAGCGTTGAGTATTTCGGTTTACAGTTCAGTTTTTAGAAAATAATTAGATCTTGTTAGACGTGAATTCTTTGTTTTTACCGTTGCAATGTCGAAGCGTCGAAAATGTTTAACAGAGCATGAAATAGCAGAAATGATGCAAAATATTTCAGATATTGATTCTGAAATTCTGATATTCTGATATTGATTCTGAAAGATTAACTGAAAGACATTTTCCAAAACTTTGTTCAGAAGAGACTGATAAGAAAATGAGACGACGGTGCTTCGTTTGTTCACATTCCCGGAAAAATCCTCCAAAATGGCAAATGAGTTATTACGAGTGCAAGGAATGTAACGTAGGACTGTGTGTAGATCCCTGTTTTCAAATTTTTCATACGAAAAGAGAATTTTAAGTAATATATTTAGTTTTCAGATGTATAATGTTAAAATTCATACAATGGTGAGTAATTAAAATAAAATGTGTAAAATATGCATTTAAACAAGAAATAAGGTAATTAAAGTATATATACATAAATATTTATAAAGCATAAGCCGTTTAAATACTCTATAGAGCATTATTAAACAATGTGTTGATACTTTGGAAATTTCTGGATTTAGGCTTAGTAGCAAAAAAGCCACCGGCCCTGGAGAGACGCTCGCTTAAGACACTGCCGGCCTCAGCGATAAGCGTGCGTTTTCGCTACCCGGCTCGAAGGGGTTAAATCTACAGACAACATTTAGAAAAGTAAATTGAAGAGTATTTACAATCATTTTTATTAGACTTAACATGAAATTTTCTTTGAAACCTTTTGATTAACATCTAATTTAAAATTATTTAACTACATTTGATGAATTTTCCTTGTCAACTAGATTAACAGTATAGACTTGTGAAGTAATATAACTTTTCAAGAATATTTCATTTTAAATGACAATTACTACCATAAATTTACAATAATATATGTTGTTAACGACTATTGTATTTCTTATGTTCTAAAGAATAATTTTACTGATTGAACATCTGAAATTTTGTTTTTGAATGTGATAACAATTGTTAAAATATAATGTTAATTTGAAAAATGCATGGTATTTTCATGATAAAATATATTTGTGCTAGTTTGTTTTCCATATATAAGAACTCAATAATAATAGAAAAGGCTATGACCACCTAATTATGGAAAATAAATTATATACAGATTACTTTGACTCAAGATCCAGATAAAAAGGAACTAAACTTAATTGGAAAAAATAATTAAAAAGACTTTTAGACAGTGAAGATAAGTAACTCAAAGCACTTAAATACTCCAGCCAAAATCGTAATAACTGCAAATCCCATCAAATTAGCTACTGCAAATAAATTATTTTCTGTCATAAACATGCTTAAAGCAGAGTTCTGAACAAAAATTAATTTAAATTTAATTTTTTCTGATTTTGCATGATCGAATGGAACAATTTTCCCAATCAATTGCTGTGAACTAGTGAAAAAAAAAAAAAAAAAAAAAAAAAAAAAAAAAAAACCCACCTAATGACTCAGCCCAAGTCCACAAAAATCCTCATGGCAAGGAGTGCAAATTTAAGCCTGTCGTTGGCAACAGCCTTGAGCACAGGACCAAGGGTCTCCAAACACTCTTCCCCTGCCACCAACCTCTCGAAAGGACTTTTGGCTCACAGCATATTTAAAGTGCCCCTGTAATGACTTCGTGGTTTAATAAGGTACCGTTTAGCAAGATGAAATGAACATTTATTAAAAATATGGTTCAAAGCATAACAGTAACTCAGAGCAGTACATTGCTCCTACCGCAGGGCAAAATCTAAAACCTTCCTCTTCCGAGGCTAACATGCACCTCTCAATAAATACATTAACCCTTATTGGAGAAGAGCTACCTGCACCAAGCACGCTCTGTTGATCGCCAAACAGTCGACAGATATCACAGCCCTCCATGCTGCACGGGCACTGTACATTTACAAACATCCATGCCTTTTTTTGGATTTGAACCCGGGCCTTTCGACACAGCTGTCAGCGACACTACCCACTATAACAGTACTTAAATGTAATAACTAATAACATTAAACAATTTTAATTCTTTTCATCTGTTACACTAAAATTAATGAAAGAAAGATATATAGCAAATATGCATCTAAACCATTAAAAATATCAAGAAGGCTTCAAAAGAAGAAAATGAAATCTAGAAAACTGTTCATTTAGTAAATGAAATTTGTAATGTACATAATTTATAATAAATATTACCATACCATCTAGTTGCAATATTTGTAACAAATATGGTGTTTGCTGAATACTTTTTCTATCCTTTTATTGTATCACTCACAAAGTTTCATGCTTTTACGATAAGGGAACTTTAATTATGGACACCCAGATAATAAGTATTTTCTAAAATAAATCCAGAAAATAAATAAACTTCTATTTAGTAATTCCTATTATAATTTTGGCTGAATTTCTAAAATTTAGCATCATAACATTTGTATTAAACATCTATGCAAACAATAAAGGTACATATACATTATACAACTCATATAATTCTGTGCAAGATATATCAAAATAAGCATGTGCTTGTATTTTAAAATAAAAATTTATATATTTAATTGGAAGTAAAACAGTAAACTATTACCTTTCCCACTGTCTATGCGAGCTTGCCTTTTAGCAGCACACTCTTCTATTCGAAGTTTAGGCATTCCACTAGCAACAGCTTTTGCCATTCCTCCTAGTGCTTCTACCTAATGTATAATATTTAAATAAGAAAATAATAATAATTCTCATACAATTATATACAAAAAATAATCCCATTTAGCACCAATTACCTCATTAATAATTTTTTTAGCTTCTTCGTATACTTCATTTGTCAAACATTCCATCATATATGACCCGGCCCACGGATCTATCACCTGAAATTAAAATACAGAGTTTTATTTTGAAGCCCAGTTAATTTAAGCCATTAAAAATTTGAAAAATTACTGGATTTCTATAAAAAGTCTGTACAGATATTGCAGAATGCATCGATTTAATCACAAATAATATAGATTTCTCTAGATTTTATAGATATTAATACAAATATTATTGAGTTTATTTAATTATTTTTTATTATTTTTCATTCAATGTAATTTGATCGTTTATATATTTTTAAAAAACTCTGTTTGTACTTTTTAAATATGACAACTAGCTACCAATTACACAAACTGTTATAATAATTTTCACATGAAATAAAACTGAAAGAACTACAATAACTAATAGATAAATTAAAGCATTGCACAAAATCAAATTAAAATTCAGATAGCTATAATATAGAAAAATAGTGATAAAAAATAAATGGTGATAAAAAATGCAGTATTTTTATTAGTCATTAAAATTTTTAATATACTTCATTATAAAATATTAATATATAAGAATATGTAACATATGTATAAAATAATATATATCACAAAAATATACTATATAGATACAAAACCATGAATTAAAATTCATTTTTCAGATGGTCTGTCTGTGTGTGTGTGTGTGTCTTTCATTCGTGCTGCGAGTAAGCCAACAGACCCAGGGCTACGAAATTTGGTACATATGTGCATCTAGACAAGGTCCAGTGCACCTCGAAGTGATTTTTTTCAAAATTTGAATCAGAATTATTTTTTTATTTTATCTTTTTTGATGAAACAGTATCATTTTGAATAGTTTCACTCTTTTAGAAATGTGGTTTTGGCAACAGTTTTTCATTCAATGCTTTGTATACTAGACTGCTGACTGTTGAAAATATGAGATAAAATATTATTAATTATATACGCAACAAGCACATCGCGATCTTCTTATTCTGACATGCATGTGTCTTGTGAGGCACAACAGAAAGAATTTCCTTTCTTCCCTTTTCTCTTTTTATTAGCTAATGGCAAAGAGGTTTGTATATTTTGAATTATGTCATCCACAAAGCAAAATTTTGATCGGTTATTGCTTTCTGATGATAGTTTCATTCTTTAGAAATGTGGTTTTGACAATAGTTTTTTATTCATTGCTTTCAATACTGGACTGCTGTTTTCTCTTGAAAATATGAGATTGATTACTTATTTCATTGTAATTTTTTATATATATTTAATTATATATAATTTTTAATTATATAAAAGTTTTGCATGATTTTTTAGGAAACAAAGTTCTTAATTCCTTTATAACATTTGAATTCTTAAGATTTTGCAACGGGAAGTTGACTAATTTATTTATTGGATTTACCTCAAGGCACACAAAATGTTTACATAAAATATGACATAAAATATTTGAATATAATTAATACAGTATATAAAAATATAATAAATGATTAATGAAATTATAAATATAGTAACTAAGTGCAGAACAAATAAAGCACTAATAACATATTGCTGGTTAGCTACGCGGCAATAGGAAATAGTAATATAACTGAATTTGTAAGTTTATATCTTAGGGCATGCCATTCACAGTTTGTGTATGAGTCCGTACAATCATTAGAGTTGTCATTCAGGCTCATCTTCAGTCTTTTACTGGTCTTTGGAGATCTCCGGAACATTTAAGTAGCACTAGAAATATTGCATTAATTAGCGCTAGAATTATGGATTAGCATTGGCACTGAAAACATTTGAGTTTTTATGTCACGATACTAGAGCTCTTATACTCTTGTTGAAAATACACATTTTGCTAGGTTTTTTAACATATTTTGTCACTCTATTTTTCTCTTATTAACAAAACATAATCTAATGATAACAAAACAAAATTTAACTTCCAACATCCATACCAGTTTTTTGTACACGATGCTGCAGAAACATAAAATGAAATTCAGAAAATTTTCAACAACTGAAATTTAACTTTTTCAACTGTTGCTACAATTTATAACACAAACATAGGAAAACATGAGCTCAAGGAAATGTGAGGGTATAGTACTCTACTTGTAGTATAGCCTCAATTGAGTGTTTCCCACACGGAAAGAAAGTGCACGTTGAACCTGAAACTCAAGTTTGAAGGAGCCCAGTAAAAGAAAAGGGGCAGACAAACTTTTCAGACACTGAGAGATAAATCAACTATTAAGGGGGACAACAGGATGAAAACTAAAAGAAGGGTTATGGATAGTTTATTGATTTATAAATTTTGATTTATTCATGATGTAATTTAAAGTTCTCGGGTGGATAATAGAACCTTAATTTTGACGCATGTACAATCTCAGTTGGTTTCTTCGTGTGAAAATTTTCCCTGTCGATTTCATAATTAACTTCAGATAATTTATTCATAATCCGATAAGGGCCTGAATAGGGTGAAGTCAATTTTCTAGTATTTGGGTATTCGAATTCCTCGTAAAGGACAAAATCTCCAGGTTGAAATTTAGATTCTACAAATCTGATGTCATATCTAGTTTTATTCTTTTGGTGGTATTCGATAGTTCTTTTCTTTGCTAAAGCCCTTGCTTCATTTAAGGAAGGGTATTTATTTTGATCAATTGGAGATTCAAAAGGGAGGTTACCAAATAGTAAGTATGCTGGGGTGAACTTAGTTACCGTATGAGGGGAGTTGTTATATTCGATAACAACTTGCTCTAGCACTTTAGTCCATGGTACTTTTTTAGAAGAAGAATTTACTTTACATTTTAGTCGACTTACTATTGATTGATTTACTCTTTCTACTTTACCATTTGTCTGGGGATGGTGAGATGAAGTTAAAAGTTGTTTAACATTATGCTTTTTAAGAAATTTTTTTGAATCTAGAGGAAGTGAAGGCTGCATTCCTGTCACTCAGAATTTTTTCGGGGACTTGTATTTGAAATATTTGTTTTAGACAATTGGCATAGGTTTCTGAAGTTACACTTTTCGAGGGAAAAGCCCAGACATATCTTGTTGCATGGTCAATAACTATATGTAAATATTTTTTTGTAGAATTATAATAATTAAATCCTCCCACAGTGTCAATAGAGAGACATTCGAAAGGTTTGTCGGTTGGGGTACGTCTTGCATAAGACCAATTTTTTTTCTGTTTTTTTTTATTAAGTTGACAAGTATGACAATGTTTAACAAAAATTTCCGATATCTTCGCTAATATGAGGCCAATAATATTGAGGGGTGATTAAGTTAAGCATAATTTGAACTCCCGGGTGACCAAAATTTTCATGGGTTTTATTCAACAATTTTAATCTTAAAGATTTAGGTACTACAATTTTATAAAAATTCTTTTCTTAATTACCATCATATCATTTATCTCTTGGTAATTTTTTCCGCAGACATTATCAGTTTTTTGTTGTTGGATTATTTCATTTCTATCAAGTAAATGTATACATAATGTTGGAGGTGCTGTGAAACAGGAATGTCTAGAAAGCATGTCAGCTTCAATATTGGTAGAGCCCTTCTGATACTTTTACTTCATAATTGAACATACTTAGTTTGAGTGACCAACGGAAGAGTCTACTTTTTAAATTTTTAACATTTTTGAGCCAAACGAGGGCCGCATGGTCCGTATGTATAACAAATTTTTGTCCATGCAGATAGTAATAGAATTTGTCTAGGGCATCTACTATGGCCAAACATTCTAACTCAGTAATCGTATAATTTTTCTCATAATTTCTTAAAGTTCGGGAATGATATGATACAGGGTGAAGGACATCATTTTCATCTGGTTGTTTCAAAACAGCTCCAACAGCAGTTTGAGAAGCGTCAACAAAAATATGACATGGCCTGCTACTGGAATCATACAATTGTAAAACAGGTTTGGAAATCAGTATTCTTTTCATTTCGTCGAAAGCTTTTTGACATTGGTCATCCCATTCCCACTTGACATCTTTTTTCAAGAGTCTGTTTAATGGAGCTCTAATAGTTGCATAATTCGGAATGAATCTATGATACACATTCACACTTCCCAAAACTCTTTATAACTCTTTGGTGTTACTGGGGTTTTTAAGTTTCTTAATAACTTCTATATTATGGTTATCAGGAATTATTCTTTATTTCATAGCCAAGAAATGCGATCTGATCTCTGGCGAACACACATTTGTTTTGATTCAATTTAACATGCTCCTCTTTAAACACCTCAAATAAAATTTTTAAATGTTCTAAATGTTCCTTCTCAGAGGAAGAGTAAACGATTATATCATCAAAATAACTGCTAGCGAAATTAATTTTATTTTTTGTTAATATTCGTCTAATTGTTCTGTTAAAAATTGCAGGAGCATTTTTGAAACCAAAAGGGAGTCTTAACCATTCGAATAATCCAAAATTCGTGCAAAAAGCTAATTTCTCAGTATCTGCAGGGTGAATCGGGATATGCCAGAAACCAGATCTCAAATCAATTGTAGAAAATACTTTTGCTTTACTTAATTTGTCTAACAAAGTGTCAATGCGAGGAAGAGGGTTTGCATCTGTTTTAGCCAGGGAATTCAATTTTCGATAATCTATACACAAATCTAGTTTTCTTACCTTCCTCACGTTTAAATACTAAAGTCACGGGGGACGAATATGGGCTACAACTTTCTTTAATTATACCTGCTTGTAATAATTGATCAATTTGGGTCTTAATTTCCTCTTCTTCCATAGGGGATGTTCTATAAGGTCTTAATGATACAGGCAAATCAGAATTTAAATTAATTCGTTGAGGTTCAATATTAATTTTTCCTACATCATACTTATTTTTAGAAAACACAGATGAATAATCATTTAACAATTTTTCCAAGTTATACTCTTTGTTATCGACAGTATTAGAAACAGCATTTTTCACATAAATGTTAGACTGAGAAACTAATTCCTTTGGATTTGTAGTCCGATATTTACAGGTTGGAAAATTTCTTACATCATCATCATTATTAACACATGGATAAACATTTGTTGTACCACCTTGAAGTTGGAGGTGTAAAGATATGGGTCGGCTGTCAACATGGCAGTCATCATTAAGTACAATAGAT